TCTTGGATCAGAAATTATATATACAATCTTTTCATGCAAAAATTCATCCTCATTTCTTTAAAGGCAAATTGCCTTTAATGAATGAATAAAAATGTTCTGTATATATCAATTTAGTCTTTTGAGTGTAACTAAATGCAGGTGTTCACTTCGGCTTTTCAATTATACTTTAGATTTAGACATGATTGAGGCCTTATAAAGAGGAACACGGCTTGAGAGAAATGAGAGCTTCTCAAAGTTAAACATCTCCAACATGGGTACATAAAGAGCTCTCATGCAAGTTCAGATTTTGAAAGGACAATTACTTAAGATAGAAGGAAGACCATCCCTAAATGAGAATTAAGATAAGAATAACCTCAGTTTCATAACTCCCCATGCCATACTAGCTATATGGGAGGAATTAAGGCATAATGGCAATCACACCTTTGACTCTGAGCCTTCATTTAGTTTTAATACTGTGCTCCCTAAGTTTCTCTCTGTTCTAAGAGGCTCAGGTCCTCTCAGACATAGTGTTGTCTTGTTCTGCTGCTTCCACTTTCCTACTTTACCTTTACCATTATGGGAGGAGAGTACACATTAAGTGATTATGGTTCAGTCAGCCAAGCATAGGTGATCCGGCCTTTAAGTAACCATAGTTCTTTTGATTTTAGAAGCCATTTTAATTTGAAACAGTTTAGATTTCATCTTGAGGCTACAGAGAATTCGTTAAAGAATTTTAAGTCAGGAAAGTAACACTGTCTTGTTTTGTTTTCAGTTTTATTCTGACTTTAATGTGGTGAATGGATTAGAAGAATAAGAGAAGTGGACACAGACACTGGTCAGAACATCATTAAAATAGTCCAGCTGAGAGACGGTAGAGGCTCAGAATTAATAGCTTCGGTGCACTTGGAGAGAAATGAATGGATTCTAAGACATTTAGGAGATAAAAGCAAGAAGACTGAATGATGGCATAAATATAGCTATCACTTAGCCTCCTAACATTAGTGATTTTAATATTCATCTAACAGACGTTCAAAAATTGTTAGGGGGATATTGTGATTTAAAAATGTTAAAGTTTATTTATCAAATGAATGGCAGCAAATACTTATTTTGTCGAGAGGAAATCTTCTAACATGATTAATAGTAATGGTAACATTTTCTTCTTAAGTTATGTAAATGAATCTATTAATTCTATAAAGCCTTGTTCCTATATTTCCAGTATATGAGATATAGAAAGAGAACACACACAAAACAAAAATTAATTGAGTGCCTGGGTAACATATTGTTTTTTAAAAAACAAAACAAAAACACACAGAATCAACAGGAAACTGACAGATTTAAAATACAAAAGAAATATTTTCTATATTTAGAGCTATGAAAGTTACTGAAGTATAATACTTGCCTCAAACACTTTCCCAACAGCTGAAATTAATTTTTATGCCTAAGCTAGATACTGCATGGCAGTGATACATATAAAGTTCACTGATTTTGAATATTCTATTCAAAATATCTCGAAAGAAAAAAGACTGTGTAGCCAACTATTTGAACTAACTGAAGCATAAAGAATAATAAGCAAAAAAAGTATCCAGACATTCTATAAATGTGGAATTTTATTTTCTTCCATAAAATATTCAACTTAAATTTAGGCATTATTAATTAATCTTGCCTATATTATAAGCAGTTTTTTGAACTCTGACGATGTCAGGAAGCTAAATAGAAAGAGAGACTTAATTCTGAATTTAGAAATGTTTCCAATTACATATATCTTCATGCTAATGTATAGGACACTCACCTTGAATATCTTTAACATCCTCAGTTGAGTAATATATAATGTGAATGATATGAATAATTAATATAGCAGCATCTCTTTGAGATTATTCAATTTTGCATTCATTAATTTGAATGTGATTATTTTAAAAAAGCTCTTAATCCATAATGTCAAACCCTTTTGTTTATTTCCATTTCCCCCACCCATTAGAGGATATCTCTCTGAGGAAGATTTTTTGGTATGTGCCTTTTGTTTATGCTATACATGCCAAATAGATCTCCCAAGATGAAACTCTGAGCTCATTTGGAAGTAATTTTTGGTAGTACATGAATCAGAACTCTTATTTTCTTCTCAGCAATACTGGTATTTTATTGCCTGCATCTATAGTCCAATATGTTTTTAGCAGTAGGAACCCTGAAGCCAAATACACAAAACACTAAGAAAATGGGAACTTCTGGCGATTACAATTTTTGTCTCTCTTTCAGGGTTCTTCCCTCCCCTGGGAGAGTGAAATCACTTTAAGCTCACTATAAAATAGGAACATGGGGAACACAAATGATTGACTGAAGTTGGTGTTGATTTAGGAGTGTTCAGCTTATAGGACAGGTGTAAAACCATTAAACCTGCTTGTCAAAGGCTACTTGTCAAACACCTATGGTTCTTCCAGATTCTGCCCAAATCTTACTCCCTCTGTGAAGGCTTTGCAGGCCAGCTCAGGCAGGGTTAGGCAGTTCTTCCTTTGCATTATTATAGCACCTTGATATTGCTAAGGCAGCACTATCAAATTATATTGTATTTACTTGTCTGTGTATTTTCATTCATGGGTAGAGAGAGACTACTTTCTTCCTTTTCTCTCTGGACCAGAACATTACCAAAATCAAATTGATTCTCAATAAAAAATAATCAAATGGATGGACAGAGTATGGCTGATAATATTCTCCAAATGTATAGCATAGGTTATGAGGTGCTTTCACATAGTGCTGAGAAAGAAATGTCAGGAATTATCACCTGTATTTTATAAATGAGGAAACTGATGCCCAGAGAGGTTACATAACCAACCCAAGTTCAAAACAACCAATAAATTGTACACTTAGCCCCCATGCCAGCAAGTCAATAATGATTTGTAGATAAAAATGATAGTAATAGTGTTCTGAAAGGCAGATGGCAGTGGCTGACCAGGACACATTGTAGGAGATGGTTACCTGTTTTGAAAGCTTTAAAATCAATCTTAGCAGGATCTCAAGAAATTCACATAAATGTACACAAAACTGGACTCCAGAATGTCAACTTATTTACAATGAGAATAATTTGTGACAAATTATTTCCCTGTATTCAAGCTATACACACAGTGAAGTCAGTAGACAAATATATCCTATATATGTATACAATTCACATTACTCTCTTAAATTCTATGACTCATAGACTTTTGAAGAGGAATAAATTCTTAAGAGATTAGGAGTAAAATCACTTCGTTTTAATAAATAAATACGTAGCTACAAAGAATAAATGACTTATATAAACTCACACAGCTTATTAGTAACAGCACGAGGCCGTAGAGTCAGGTCTTCTTAAAAATGACATCATTACATTAAAAAAAAGCCCAACAACTTATGATTGGGAAGTAATACAAATACAGTTCTAGTTCTTATCAAGATTTCTAAGCATCTGGCTAACATGATTAAACACAGGCTGCCACACAGGAATTGTCCTTAAATGCTATAAAATGGGAGTACATCAAATTCTATTCTATGACTGTGTATAAGGGAGGTGAGGGGCACTAATGTGACAATGTCTTCACATCCAATCCATGTTAAAACAAGGCATTTTTTAATACAGATTGACAATATTAATTATATTTACCTCCATTTACCCACAGACATTGATGTTACAAAAATAATTTATTGGATTTATCTTTTCAATATGTCAACTGAAGTGTATTTTCTAGTCTTCATTCCTTTTCAACATACTTTTCTTTCTTCTTGAAAACAGTCCAAGTAGATATAACATAGATATTTGTAGATTCACGTCATATTTATAACTTTTTAAGTTTTGAAAATAGTTGGGCGAGTCATTGCCAGAACACATTTTACTACTTACTGGCCAGCTAAAAAGGTAAATATCTATGTCTATTAAGGGGTAAAGACCAAAGACCAAAATAAGCTAAGATTCTCAGAAAAAAAAGACAAATGATCATATTTATGAAAGCTTTTATTCAGCTTCTATCACCAAAAATAGGATGTGCTCTGGGTTATATGTCCTAACTTAGTAGATAAAAGCAAATGCTTTCCACAAAAATATCTGTATTTCACAGACTGTGCAAGTCATACCACAATCCAACAATTTCATGGGGCAACATAGTCAATTAAGAGAGAGAGCCTTACTTAGCAAATAACTGCTTTGGGGATAGAAACATACCTCAAACTGCAATGAATTCGTTTGCTAATTGATCTTCCTGTTGGGGATAATTGCTAAAATTTCTTCTTTAAAATACATGAAACTTTACTTATTTGATATCAACTATTATGCATATCTCTCTATTACTATAATAATCGGAGTCTGTGCTTTTCTACTTTGTCACTGGATGCAGAGAACTATTTCCACAACATTTTTTTAAATTTTTTTATTATGTTATGTTAATCACCATACACTACATCATTAGTTTTTGATGTAGTATTTCCACAACATTTACACAGTAAAGCTTTTGCTTCCCTCTAGCATCATAACTGGCACCCTGACTACCCATCTCTAATTAATGCTAATATTTACTGTCATCCCCAAGAGTTATAGTTTGAAACAGGAACCTAGAGTATGAAAGAAAATTTAAATATTCCAGGTCATTTATATAGTCTAATTTAGAATTGATTTCTCATATAGACTATGACAAAAGCTTGCTCACAGATCATAGCATTTTAATGTATTAAGTGAAAGATGACTTTAGATATTAATTTTTTAAATATTATGCTGTATAAAAATCAACATCATTTAAGTACCAATTCGTTCATTTTCTTATAAAATTTCAGTAGAAAAATTCCCATATATAGCTAAAGTCGAAGATAATTCATTTAAGTCCCTATTATATATTAAGCCAGCCAACCATTTTTATCTATGTCACAGGTATAAAATATCTGTCAATTCCTGGTAAAGGACTATAACATGAAATCAATATGATCAATAGGTACATAAAATGCTAACAGAAGAAATTTAAAAAAAAAACACAAACAACAGGCCTTGCAATCCTTTAAGATGTATTACTCACCAGAAACAAAGTTCGGAAGTTGCTGAGATCACCAAAGAACTCTTCTATGCTCACTGTCTTAGAGTTAAAAATAAAGTATTCTCCAAGATTCTCATAGAGCTTCAGCATGTTGTTGTGCATGGTGAACAGTTTTTCATACTGGTCTCTGGCACTCTTTGTAAAGCTGTAGCTTTCTGTTAAGGAACATGACCCAATAGCATCTTAAAGGCAAACACTAGATGTTAAGATTGAACAATACCATCATTTTTATAAATACTTACATATTAATTTGCCACGATTGCCATAATACCACAGACTGGGTAGCTTAAACAACAGAAATGTATTTTCTCACAATTCTGGAAGCTAGAAGTTCAGTATCAAGGTGTTGGCAAGTTTGGTTTCTTCTGTGGCCTCTCTCCTTAGCTTGTAGATGGCCACCTTCTCACTATATCCTCACGTGGTGGTCCCTCTGCCTGTGTTTGTGTCCTCATCTCCTCTTCTTATGAGGACACTAGTCATACTGGAGTAGGGTACACCCTAAGGACCTCATTTTAACTTAACTGCCTCTTTAAAACCCTATCTTCAGATACAGTCAGTCACATTCTGAGATTCTGGGGGTTAGGGCTTCAACATATGAATTTTTACAGGGATACAAGTCAGTCTATAATAACTTGCTAGAGTCATTTTATTGGTTAGTGGGTTTCAAAAATTTCTAAACTAGGCATAACTATCTAATGTTATATAACCATGCAAAACATGTTTGCTAAATAAAAGCATATAAGTACAAATACCAGAAAACTGCCTCAGTTATCTTTTAATGAACAAGGTAGGGCAGAAACGAACAACAAGAAACTTAGAAAAAAATATTCTCTTTTTAAATACACGCATTCTGTTTAGAGAGCGGTCACGGTGAATTCTATATATAGGCTGTGTGTGTGTGTGTGTGTGTGTGTGTGTGTGTGTGTGTGTGTGTGTATCCCACATGAAGAGGGGAAGGACACGGAGAGAGGAGGAGGGAAGGCAAGAGGGAGGTATGAAGAGAAAGGGAGAAGATGGAGGGGGAGAAAGGGAGATGGGAAAGAGGGGGAGAGATTCTGCTATAGCGCCAGAACCTTAATCACCCAAAGGGCTTGCTAAAATCCAGACTGTTTGCTGGGACTGAGCCCAGGAGGCTGAGAATTATACTTTCTACCAAGTTCCCAGGTGATGCTGAGGCTGCCAGTCCTGGATACACTTTGAGTAGTATGCTCTAGAAAAGCTGTGCCAGGTATGGAGCCTGCTTAAGACTCTCTCTCCCTCCGCTCCCCTGCCCAAGCAGACTCTGCTCGGAGTGCAGAGCCCACCTCAGGGCTCACCCTCACGACACTGAGATCATGACCTCAGCCAAAACCAAGAGTCAGATGCTTAACTGGCTGCACCACCCAGGTACCCCAATCTCTCTCTCTCTTTTTTTTAAAGATTTATTTGACAGAGAGAGAGACAGCAAGAGAGGGAATACAAGCAGGGCGAGTGGGAAAGGGAGAAGCAGGCTTCCTGCCAAGCAGGGAGCCTGATGTGGGCTCAATCCCAGAACCCTGGGATCATGACCTGAGCCAAAGGTAGATGCCCAAGGACTGAGCCACCCAGGCGCCCCTTTCTCTCTCTTAAAAAAAAAAAATCTCTTTAGGCGACTTCAAAAACAAAAAATAACTAAAATTTTCATTAACTCAGAAGCAAGTATTGTGAACATTTTGGAGTATTTTCTTCTAGTCTTTCTTCTATGGCTAATTAACTTTTGAATGTAAATGGTTAAGAATGCTTCAGAGAAAGGTTAAGTGGGCTAACAATGAAGAATAAAGGAAACCAAATCCACCTTTAAAAATCAGAGTTAAATTAAAAAAAAAATCAATGATCACAGAAGTAAAATGTCTTTTTGTGAAAAGGTAAAATACTTAGAATTATAAAAGAAGGTTGGGGCGCCTGGGTGGCTCAGTCGTTAAGCGTCTGCCTTTGGCTCAGGTCATGATCCCAGGGTCCTGGGATCGAGTCCTGCATCGGGCTCCCTGCTCGGCGGGAAGCCTGCTTCTCCCTCTCCCACTCCCCCTGCTTGTGTTCCCTCTATCGCTGTGTCTCTCTCTGTCAAATACATAAATAAAGTCTTTAAAAAAAAAGAATTATAAAAGAAGGATAATAGCACAGGTTGAGGCATGCTATTACAAGGTCTACTATAGTGTATTAATATTTTATGGTAGTATTATTTAATCAGGCACTGATAAATGTGTTTTGAAATAACTGATTTTATGACTTTGAGATTAATCTTAAAATTTACAAATATAAAGATATAAAATTTCTAAAAGTATAAATCTTATATTTAAGATTTTCTGAATTCTTCAGGATGTTTTATTATAACTTGGGACCAAATTTATTTTTGAGGGGAACACAGCTCTCATTTTACAATGGAAGTCAATGGAGAAAATCAGACCATTTCTTTTTTTTTTCTTTTTTCAGACCATTTCTGGAAAATTACTTTGCAGCTGACACTTATTGGATACAATGTGATTTTAAAAGTGAGAGGGGACCCTACCTATGTTCTTTCTTAGGCTACTTAAATATTAGCATTCACATTAGCAACACAACAACCTCCTCCCTGCTAACAATCTTTAAATCTTTCAACCCTCAAGTCCATTTTGACCTCACTAGACTGAAAGTATTAATGCATTTTTACTTACTCTTCTTTCTTTTTACCAACAAAAGGATCTCATATAATGCTGCATACACATTTGAGACTATCACCATATGTTCTTTGACTCCTAAGAAAGTGTTAAACATTTTGTTTATGAGTTGCAGAAATAAGACAATACTCTCCATTTCCTAGCACAGAATGAAAGTGAGATTTTTGTTTGCTAGGCTCTCCTACCCAAACAAAACAGACTCTTGCCAGAGACTTGCTAGGCATAAAAGTTATCAAAGGGCATTTACTTGTACTCTATTTGCAATACAAAGTACTAAACTGTATATTTCACAAGGCTCAACATCTGTACCACACAGAGAAAAGCCAAAGATAAAAAAGGAAAAAAACTGTATGTTTCCCATTTATCATAACAGTTTTTCACCAGCTACAATATGTCCATGTAGTGATACACGACTTCATAAATTTGTTCTCCCAGAAAAAAAAACACACAAAAAAACCTGATTTCAGAAAATTCTGTCTGTGTACCAAAGTGAGAAAATTTGAAAAATTCTGGGAATGGCTTTTCTTAGAAATAACAAATGGAAAGCAGCCCAATCTCCAAGTCCTTTACTTATCTTCTTCAAAATGATTATTTTATAAAAGGGATAGATGCCATGAGTCAGCACTGGAAATCTCTCACACATGCAATGAAGTCACCAAATCCTAACTGGGACTGCAGGTAAAAAAGAGCTAGACACCCTCATTCCTTTTCATCATTTTATTTCATTTAGGAAATTTTTATTTTATGTTTTTGAGCACCTATTAAATTCACTGGTTAGTACTATGCTAAGCATTGTGATGGCTGTAATGATCATTAAAACCTAATCCCATCCAACCCCTTATTAAATTTATAATCTAATATTACAAATAATTCTTCCATCATTCATTTGCATTTGTACGGAATTTTACCATTTACAATATGCTTTCCCTTCCATTATGTCCCATAGTCTTCATAACAATCTTATCAAAAAGGTAGAGAAATAACAGTGTTCAAATTTTAGAGCTGTAGAAACTAGATAGAAGGCACTCATCCATCTAGGGTTAGCATGTAGTAAAGGGAAACAGAATATGCCTCCCCAAAATATGCCTCTTTGGTGTAGATTTTTATTTATTTGTTGTTTTTCAAGTTTTTATTTAAATTTCAGTTAATATATAGTGTAATAGTTTCAGGAGAGAATTTAGTGATTCATCACTTATATACAACATGTAGTGCTCATCACAAGTGCCCTCCTTAATATGCATCACCCATTTAACTCATCCCCCTGCCCACCTCCCCTCCAACAAACCTTCAGTTTGTTCTCTATCGTTCAGTCTGTTTTATGGTTTGCCTCTTTCTTTTCTACCCCCTATGTTCATCTGTTTTGTTTCTTAAATTCCACAAATGAGTGGAATCATATGGTATTTGTCTTTCTCTGACTGGGAGAAGATATTTGCAAATGACATATTTGATAAAGGGTTAGTATACAAAATCCAGTATACAAAATCCATAAACAACTTATCAAACTCAACATCCCAAAAACAAGTAATCCAGTTAAGAATGGGCAGATGGCACAGATTGTTTTGAGCTGATTGAGAAAGAGCAGACATAGGAAAAGCTTTGAAAAGAGTAAAAGTTACTTTTTGAAAGGGGAATTTACATTTATAAAGGATGTCTCCCTCTCTGTACCAAGAAGAGAAGCATGACTCTAAGTCACAAAAAAATCAATGGTATCCAGAGTACCAACCATTAAGTTGCAGATTTAAATGTGCATAACAAACTTTACCCTTGTTTATGGTGAATTTCCTGTTAACCGTCCTCCCCTTCCCTATAATGAGTGTCCTCACACCTTTCTTTCTTCTGTCTTTAGCTGAAGATGGTATTTAAACTGGTAGCTTAGGTTTAGTATCCAAAATATTTAAAGAAATTACACAACTCAAAACCCAAAACAAATAATTCAGTTAAAAAATGGGCAGAAGACATGAGCAGACATTTCTCCAAATAAGACTTCCAGATGGCTGACAGACACATAACAAGATGCTCAATATAACTCATCAGGAGAATGCAAATCAAACTACAGTGAGATATCATCTCACACCTCAGAACGGCTGAAGTCAAAAACACAAGAAACAAGTGTTGGAGAGGATATGGAGAAATAGGAACCCCCTTGCACTGTTGGTGGGAGTACAAAATGGTACAGCCACTGTGGAAAACAGTATGGAGGTTCCTCAAAAAGTTAAAAATAGAGCTACCTTATGATCCAGTAATCACACTACTGAGTATTTACCCCCAAAATACAAAAATACCCTAATTCAGGGCGCCTGGGTGGCTCAGTTGGTTAAGCGATTGCCTTCGGCTCAGGTCATGATCCTGGAGTCCCGGGATCGCGTCCCACATCGGGCTCCCTGCTGAGCAGGGAGTCTGCTTCTCCCTCTGAACCTCTTCCCTCTCATGCTCTCTCTCATTCTCTCTCTCTCAAATAAATAAATAAAATCTTTA